TCTTTATCGTACCATTAAACGGAAATAATTATTCGAAAGGTCAGATTAAGGTCAATACATTTTGAACATCATCCAGAGTCAAATGCATACAACATGACTAATTCAGTCATTCCATCGACTTTCCTCCCACGCAACCGAATCGTATCGCCTCATTTCTCGTTGTCAACTCCCATCGCACGCGAGTCGTCCTCCGAGCATTGATCTAGGCGCGCCATCGAGAGCCGAAGAAAAGGTGAGAAGCTGTCAACCCTGTCACGCGTCCAATGGACCATACCGACGGCCCATTATCGGCGCTAGGGAGCTCCGTGGAGAAATAATAAAAATGCCATTAGTGTCTCGACGTCCCACGACGCTCGAACGATGTGAACGTTCACCCCAGATTTCGGGCGATATATCTCATCCCCTTCGACCACTTTAACGTCTTTGTCACGGACTCTCCCACTTGACGAGGTTAATCCTTCTTTCTGGCCTTCAGGCTTCCTCCGACTCCACGGTTTCTTCCTCGGTCCAGCGGCCAGGGGCTGGACGACCTTAAAATCCGTTCACGAGCTGGAACGAAAATAATTGCATCGTGATTCTTCCGCTTTTTCCTTCGACTCTCGGTGCCCATCCTTTCCCTGCCGTCTTTCTTCCCCCTCGCGACGTTGTTCGCTCCTTCCTCGTCCTTCTTCCTCCAGCCACGACCGAGAGGGCATAAATCCTTCGGGATCGTCGCCGAAAATAAGATAAAATCTCGCTGCGACGGGGTTCGTCGGCCAGAGGAAGGAAAAAAGGCAAATTCCCGAATAAACACATCCGCGCCTCTTTATGGTGGCACTTTGCGGATCCACCCCGCCCTTGAACTCGGTGGCCTGTGTACTGTTCGCATTATTAACTCAACCACCGGAAAACGTCAACGCGCTTCGGTCTCCTTATCTCCTTGCTTTCCTTTATTTTAACGCTGTCGCCCCGCCTGCATCGTTGCCTTTCACCCTACAGCGCGACTTTTATCGCGACCGACTTTCGAGGAAGAATTCCTTAACCTTTTCATAGTCTTCGGTACGATCGTCGGTAGGTTTAGTGTAAATCTGTCGTCATTTTCATGGCTGTGATGGTCCTAAGAACTCACGGAATTACATTTTACGGCAAAGCGAGGCTAAAATTAATCTTTTGCCATGATCATCGGCGTTTTACCGCCGATATCAGAGCCCATCGCAGCGGGTCGTTCCTAGTTGAACGCATTCCGCCATTCCTGAGAGCGTTTCCGCTTTCTGTGAAGCTCCCGGAGCGAAGGAACGACTGAGGATCGGATTTCCAAACGTTTTAATCGGCGTTTTTCTTTTTTCTTCCCTCCTCGATCCCTCAGTTCTCCCCCCCCCCCCCCCCCCCCGATGCTCTGCCCCCATTCCACGAGGAGAGGTCCTTTTCCAGAAAGGAGTTATCGTTGAAGAAAGCTACAGGCACCAACGGCGTGCTCCTGAAAAGGGGCTGGAGACGCCCGGCGGGGTTAAAACGACCCCCGCAGTCGAGGCTGAAGTCTGAAAGATAAGGTACCCCTCTTCTCTCTCTCCTGGCCTCCTAGATTATGGAATGGCACTTTAATTACACTAATGGGAGAACCAAATGTTAATTACAATTCGAAGTCTAAAAGAGAGACGAGTCACGGGCGCCGAAAGACGGAGAAAGATAGGCGCCGTAGGGGCGGGGAGGCAAAGATACGCACAGGGGGCGGGGAGATGGGACGAGATGAGATTTGCCTGCGTAAGAGGGTTTCCGTGATTAGTATTATTTAATTAAAAATGCCCAGTCTCATTATGGTCAGCTCTCATAAAGACCGGTTTTTGCTCCGCGGGAAGTCGCTTGTAAATTGGATTATCGCTGGAGAAAGCTTGAAAAAGTGTCATAGCGAGTGCTCGTTGCTGTATGACGCGAATTTTGTAATGGAAGCACGAGAATTAACTACAGGGAGGTCGGAGTGGATTGCCATTTGCTTGTTTCGTTTTTATTTTCGTGCAAGAATAAGTTGGAAGAGGATGCTGTTTGTCATATTTAATATACAGTCAGTGTCGTGAGTATTAGTACCTTCTACATTTATTGAAGACATTCCTCCTCCCCTTTCCGTTGAGAGTTTCTGGTCTATACGACGCGATCCTAAGCGTGAAGACGACTACGCGAACGGCTACGACGACGTGCTATCGACGCCTGGGTGGAGGCAAGCTGCAGCCGGGTTTCAATTTAAAGTTGGACGAGCGTGTCGGGATTTCAATGTACAAAATGCGTATGCTAAACTTTTCGCACCCCTCGTAGCCACCGCCTCGGCCACCACCCCTCGGTACGCCTTCGTCGTCCGAGTTCCGACAACGGGGGCCCTTGACGCGCGAACCAACACTGGACAACGTCCCCGACGTTTTCGGCTGGGAAAAATCAGCAAGTCTGATGCGCCCGCGCCAAGTAGAAAGGGTGCGCAAGTAGAACGTCAGCTCGTCAGGGTAAGCCTGCTCGCGGGACAAATGTCCCGTCGAACACTTTGAAGTCGCTGCTCCCAAAGGACAAATTACTTTTTTCGAAGCACGCCGCGCGTCGGCCTTACCTTCCCCACCCTGACTCACCCTTAGGACCCCGTAATGATTGCAGCCGCGATCGAAGGTGATGCATATCAATGGGTAGGCTCGTAATGAACGCTCGCGTGTTAAGAGAACTTTCTAATGGTTTCCCGACGGAACGTCGACTCTTCTCGTCTTTTTCTCCGCGGGACTGCGTTCGAATTTGCATCTCGCGACTCGGTCCCGCGAGCTTTCGACTCGGTACGACGGTGCTCTGGGGGATCGCTGACGAAATACACGATTGTGTTGGGTTTCATGAACGTGGACATGTTAAGGGGTGGGTTGCGAGGGAGAATTAAAATTCACCTGGGAAGGGCTCGACGTTTTTCTTGGAAGGCTTTAAAATTGATTATTTGCGTTTCAAGTTGTGAGTGCGATAGACATCAATATTATGAATTGTTTAACACAAGTATACAGGGACTATTAGAATATATGTACATCTTAATTTGCTCTCGTAATCTATGTTCCAAAAGAGGGTGCTCCATTTCCAATAATTACATACAAATGTCTCGAGTACCTATTAACCCCTCGCAACGTTAATCGACGACCTCCAGTCGACCTCGAGGCACGAAGAATAATTTATCGCCACCCATAAGGGTGGCAGGGGGCCATCGAGGTTCCCGGAGTCGATTCGGGCGGCTTCGACGCGAATTTAAGTTCGACGTCGTGGTAAGAGAGATGCGTCACGTTTGCCGAAAGAAGACGCAAGTACGAGGAAGAGGCAAGCGGAACGAAGATGTTCCAACGTCCAGGCGCTCGCGGATGGGTGAGAAGTTTCGTCCCAGGAGTTGGATTACCGCGTGGCTTCGGTTGGATTTGAAAATCGTGGGGTCCCGGATACTTGACGGGTGGCGGTGGAACCTCGGGAGCGTGATTGATTTTGCATACGACACGGATTGGACAGGTTTGAGAAATTGGACTGGCTTTCTGGCTGGTTTGGCCTCTCTGCCCTCCTTGGCTGCTCCCTTGGTTTCGCCGCCGCCCCTTCGCCCACGCGTTCTTTCTATATCGCGAGTGCTGTATGCCTCGGACGTTATATCGGCGCGTGTCTGCATACGCGTACACTCCCGTTCATAAATATGGAGACACTTACCACCTTGAGTGAATAATTAACGTACGTCATAAATTAGTAGAATGTAGATGTTTATACAAATTCATGTCTCTACAGATTGGGATAAGGATCTGTGATTTAAATGATAGTACTTCGTGTTTTTTGTAAATAGGGTAACGTGTATTTTATTGTTAATATTTTTCTACGAAGAAGTCAATAGCCGGGATCTCAAGGTTGGTAAAAGAAGTTTTAAGAGAATAAATAATGCAACACAAATAAAACACGCGAACATAAGTGATATTCATTAACAGATTTGTAGCTAACTCCGATCGAGGAAGTGTCCTCGTACTTATGAACTGGGATGTACACGCAAGTTCCCGTGGCGTATATACACAAGTATTCGAGAGTATCCACCCACGGAGACGGAGAGGGGTTCCCACTCGTATCTCTCGCAGGGTAACGTCGAAGGGGATTGGCCTCGAACGAGCGATTTGTGCGATCTTCGAGGACGTATTTATGAGCGTTCCAGGCCCGCTTCTTCCACTTTCATATTGCGTTCACCGTTTTGGACCGAGAGCTGGCGTGAGTTATGGTGTGCAAAGTGCAACGGTGACTCTTACGCGTGGAGCGACCGTTTTTGGAGGATCGTGTCCGAGGAACCTGGTTCTTCGCAATGCTCCCTTCGTACAAATTATTTAAGAATTAATAATTAATACACAGCTAACTTGGTACACCGTAACAGTACGGCGTGTCTCACGACAAACAAGCGTACAGAATTGGTTATTCCTCCACTCTCGAGAGTAAATACGACGTGTTTTGATGCAGACGCAAGAAGAGGCTGTTGGACCATTCAGGGTTGCTCGTCTGGCGTTATCTGGCGACGTCGGAGTGGATAACAGGTCGAACGATTTATTCTAAACCTTTATCCAGGGGTCCCTGGAAATTTATGAAAGAAGACGCCCGTTTAACCGACTCGCTCAGTCATCCCTCACGATGGTGGTGAAGCCACCCTTCCCTGGGCTGTCTTCCCCGTCTTCGTTCCTCTTCGAGTGGCGCTTCTCTTTCCGTCGCTCTTCCCTAGCTCGAGGCTCTACCCTGTGCTCACATGTCAGCCCTTTATTTTATACCAAGACGAGCCGGTCCGAGCCTGGTCCTAATATTAAAGGGGATGGTTCACCCTTAGCGCGTGATCGGGATACCGAAATTCTCTGATCGCGAAGGGAGTTCCTTATTGGAGGACGAAACGGAAGTCGAGTGGCAGAGTTCTCGAAAGATGTTGGCGAGAGGCCCTTTTCTAGCTTATTATGAAAATTAAATTTGTCACACGTATACTTCACAAAATAATACATTGTCATCGTGTTTTCCAGTTATACCTGAGCAAAACGCGGCAGAGTGGCCTTTCAAACGATCTACAGCTGAGTCTCTCACGAACGGTCAGTCCAACTGTACGTCAACAAGGTAAGTTTTAACTCGTCGATTTTTCTACGACGTTTACGAGCAACCCTCTCGAATATCTTCAGCGTCGTCGACTGTAAAACGCCTCTGAATTTCTGACGGCGTTCGAAAAGATTCCTACCCCACCGCGGGTTCGTTTTCTCGCTTTTTTCTCATTTCTCGCGATTTCGTTGAAACTTTCGGCACGCACACACGAAACACCGTCGTTTAATGTCGCAACGACGGCATCTCGCTTCGTACGTGCACGGGAGTAATGAAGGCACTGCCGAAACCCAACGTTTCGAAACTTTCGCCAATTTCGCGTGCACTCGGTTAGAATAAATATTCGATCGTACTGTTGCGCTTGGCAGAATTTTTCTTTTATTTCTAGTGGATTAATTGGATTGCGAATGGTGTATGACGTAGAAAGTTCAAATTAAAATGATCAAAATATCGCGAAAAAACGAAGAATTTCTTTTCATATTCCGAGCTCAAAAATGTTGAGAGCCACCGCTCCGTGGAAAAGACATAAATTTCTAACCCTCCTCGCCAAAGGAAGGTACGGAATTTGTGGAAAGAGACATCAGCCACGCATTTTCTCTATTTCCATTGATCGAGAGGTCACGATTTTCGCGTACAGAATTGCTGGATCGCCGGCGACGTCGACGAGCCGGTGGGGTCGTGAAAGCGACGAGGAGGCCGCCATGCATAACCCCGCGACGGTCTCGCATAAATATTCTAATAACTTCGGAAACTAATATGATTGCAACCAGCAGGAATAATGTCCTGCTCGGAGTGGGCACGATGACTGTATGCGTGGAATACGAAATACGCGTGGCGTCCACGAAAGCGACGCTCCTCGAGTGACCATAGATCGCCGCGAGGGTGGAAGCGATCTCTAGCCCCGATGACAGTTGTTACTTTAATCGAGGCTTCCCGTCCCGTTGGCCCCCGTAGAAAATAGTTATGGTCAAGCACGACACGACAAAGACCGCGAACAGGTATTGCATGAAACGATTATAGCATTCTGCTCGGGGACTTGGGTATTATCACCGCGAAGGTCGACGACGCTCGAGACGAAGGGCACGTATTAAGGGGGATCGTTATTAGAAGACCAATTATTTAGGCAGTTGCAGCAATTTTGTTCAATCGAAAGTCGTGGGTGCAAACTTTTGTAGACGCGTTTAATTACTTAATCGTGTTGTATGGATGTTTCAAGTTGGTTGTGGGAATTATTTTAAGGGAAGATGAAGGAAATAAAATTTAGTGGGACATTTGGAGTTATTCGCGGTCCTCTCAAGCTGATGACCAACAGCAGCTCCTCAATACTCGAACCTTCGAGAAAATATAAAACGTAATCGACCTATTCGAAATTCCTGCCCCTTCGACAACCCTCCGCCCACCAACGCCACCGTCGTTGGCGTACAGCGAATTAACGAAACGCAAGACCCGTTCGAGGGTACGACGCGGCTATCGATCCCGCGGCGCGGTTTCGAGACGCTCGACGAAAATTCATTCCAGCGTATCGAGTTCGAAAATTAATTTCAATCCGTACTTGAGCCCCTGGCTCTCTCTCGCCCTCTTTCGCCCCTTCCCCCCCCTCCCTCGTTCGTCTACCTGGTCAAACAGCGGCGTGTACAAGCGCAGTCGGGAAAAGCGAGCAGCTCGAGTACTGGAAACAAAAGGCCGACGTTTCAATTAGGTCCCTTATTAGTTAGCGATAATAGGGCCAGCGGCGGTCGAACGTTAAGGCCGGGGCTTTCCTCGGTGCTTAACCGTTGGCTGCGTTAGGTCCGCCAGGGTTGTTTGCGTGGATCCAGCTCTTGCGATATTAAGGGCTGACTAGGCATTCACCGGCTAACGCCATCGAACGAGTTACCCCGGAGCTCCTCGTGCCACCTCTTCACGATGTTTAGAGCCACCCTCTAACCTCTTGCGCCCTTCGACCCGATCCTGACCGTAGACCAGGACAGGAAGGAAGGGCTCTTCTAGGATCCTTGCACCGCCTCGCTTGGACCTTCGTCGTAGGGTCGATTGATTTTCTCGCGTTGCAACCTCGCGAGAAAACGGGTGGGGGTTGCGGACGGGGGGGGGGGGGGGGGGGGGGGGCGGAATAGGACCATCGAGCCCGTGATAACGGAGTTTGTGCCCCGGCCCAGGGAAACGGAAGAGGGTTAGCAGAGCGAAACGCTCGAACTAGGAGGAATTTGTCGCGAGAAACCGGTCGCAGCAGTCGCCTGCGGCGAGCCGCAACGATCCTACGTCGTTCTAGCCATTGTACGCCACCGCACGGTACAGGGGTACCCCCGTTGCCGCCGCTATCGTCGGGACCCTTCGAAACTAACTTGGGTCGGCCGAAACTGCGCCCGCTTTCCTCGCCGCGAAACGGTTGACGCGGTTAACAAGGAGGCACGCGATGCACATCCGCCGTATCGATTTCGCTGGGAAAATACGGAATCGGACTCGGAGACGCGCGATAGCGGGAGAGAGGTCCTTGGGAAGTCATGGTGGAGAAGGTGAGAGGGACGTTCCAGGATTGAGCGAACGTTAATCTAGATATGAACAGGATGGCTCTGTAGTGTTGATAATGGGATTGATGTTACGATGTAGTCATTGACATTAAGACTAGCAATGTTTGTCTAGTGTAATTAGTTTAGACAAATTCCTTCAATAAATACAGAGGGTACGAATATTTATGGGACTGACTGCATATATAAACGTAGTCCAGAAAGTAATTCATCTTCACCCCAAGAGGAACGTTTCTTTTTTTCTCTGAACAAAACATACTGAATTCCGCACTTAAAATTTCAGTGAACATTCAATTTAATCAACCCATTCTGTCGATGTTGCTTAACAAGTAACTACGTTTCAGGTAAAACTCATTTGGAAATCTAGTTCAGAGTTACCGAACGCATAAGAAACTGTGCAAGTTCAAGCGGCGTACGAATATTCAGGAACGAGGTGCAAAGTTATCATAGCCAGCGGTTCTTTCCATTCGCGAGGGACCCGAGTCGGTTTTAGTGTAAATGTGGAGCGGCGGGTTCAGGGTGTCGGAGGACGTCGTCAGCGGGGATCGGGGAGGAGGAGGAATGGTAGCGACATCTTGTATTGTCAGATCCCAACGCGACAAATTCATAATTGCGTTAATGCGGGTACGGCGAGGGTTCTTGCCGCAACCACCGCAAGGCGCGCTATGGCGTCTTGCGGCTGTAAGAGAGATAGGGACCAGGACGGAGAGAACTGGTGAGCGTGGAAGAGAAAACGGTCGAGGTTGAGAGGGACAGAACTACGGGGATGGAGGGGGGGGGGGAAGAGAAGTCCCTCCTGGCACGGGCTCGTTAATCTTCCAAGGATTACGCCAGAAGGAAGTATCGCCATTGTGCAAGGTGCTCCTCTTCCAGCCGATAATTATTAATTAAATTGGCCTAACGGACCACTTCGTGATTTATCGATTTATCGAGGAATCCTTGGAGCGTGCCCCGACCGATGCGGCGGTCCAGTTGGGAAAAGAATCGGTTTGAGAATGGTTTGATAACAATTTTATGATAACATATGTGTGTGTGATGTTTTAATAGTAGAAATTAAATGCGAAAGTAATTTCGTAGTGGTTCTATATTTTGAAGAGATAAATTGAGAATTTCTTGTGTGATAAGGGCAGTTCAGACCTAATCTGTGTACCCATGTATAGTTAATAACGTTCAGGGCGATTAATAATTAATAATATCGAGTAAGAACAACTTAGACCTGTTAACTAAATTTAATCGCGAAACTCCGAGTAACCACGGTCCAACCCGCTGCAACAAGGGTAGTATTTCCTCTCGATCGAGGAAGAGCACGCGTTACAAGCGTGACCAGCCAGGCGTGGGATCGGCGCGTTTTAATTAATCGTGAACGATTAAACGATCATCAAATCGAACAGGAAGGGTCATCAAATCCGCGCGGACGAGCACGGGAACGAAAAGAGACGAAGGGTTGCGCGTGCGACCGGCTCGCAAACGGGCCGAGGGTAAAAAGGATAGAATTGCAGACGCGAGAGAGCGGCGAGGAACGAACGAGCCGAAATAAAACAGTGATATCGAGGCATTTCACGCACGAGCGGGAACGTTTAGCAGATTCAACGTGCGTGCCGGCACACGGCTGCTACCCTGCCCACGGTGAAACGACTCTCTCATTCCATTCTTCTCTCTCGATGCGTTCGGTTCGCTCTTTGCTCTCTTCGTTTCTCTATCACCTACACCCTCTCGCCCAGAGCTCACTGAAAAATACTGTTCTCGCTGACACCTGTAGCTTCGCCGTTCTACATATGTGCGTACGTACGTCGAGCCCATCGTGGAAACGAGGGACAAAAAATTATCGCCAGACCAAGATTTACATAAGATACGAAAAGACACGATAATTTCGTTGTCACTTCTGGCTACAGGTACATCTGCTACAGATCAATTTCAACACGGTGCCACCGAGATACCTCCATACCAGACAATTACAAATCGGAACAAAGCCGGAGTAAATTGCGTGAATCACGAAACGCGTAGCAGCCGTGATTTTTCATCATTCCACGAGGAAAAAGGCTCGCCAAGCGAATTCGCGAAAGGGGAACAGATTCCACAAGTGGTAGACTTTACGGGACTTAAGATTAATCCCCATAATTACCCGATTCCGTTCTTCGAAGGCCCCTCCCTTGTGTTTCGTTTTTATACGGCAGCTTGCACCTAGCTGCGGCGTACCTTTCGCGAGGAAGGGCAAACGGATGGGATGAATGGCGACCCAGGGTCGCCTCGCTTGCTCGGCCATAAAGATACTTATCAGGTGACAACCCTGGTCATCCTTTACGATCCTTCCCTCCTTGAGGCTTTCCACGGATGTCTGGCAAGCAGATTCACCCCTCGGGCAGTCGCGTGCCGCCATTCCGAACGATACGAGCCTTCGCGCATTCTTTTCTCTTCGTCCAGATTCCTCGTGACTCTCCCTCAAAGGGAAAAGTGGACGAGGAATGTTAAGTCGGCCTCGCATTCGATTCCGTAATC